CCGTATGATGAAGTTTGGATGGTGATGAGGGTAGCGAAATCATTATTCATTTTCACCTATAGGCTTTGTGAAGAGTTTTCCATATATATGAAAGATACTATAAAACGTTTCCAACGCCTATAGGCGAAAATAAACAGTGATTTTGCCTACCATCATCATCATCCAAACTTCATCGCACGGTCACAGTTGTCCGGTAGTGTTTATATTTTTTATTTTTTTTACTAATCGGAATGATCTAAAATTTGAAGAGCATGTACATCTTAATAAGACGCACTTAATAAAAATATATAAAAAATATTTCGTAAAATATAAATTGATCAAAATAACCCCATAAAGTTTTGGTCAATTTATATTTTATAATTATTAGTTTTATATTTTTATTAGATATGCCTTGATGAGAAGAAATACATGCCTAAAATTTCAAGTGATTCGGATTTGTAAAAAAAATAAAAGTTCAAATACAAAATACGATTGTAACCATTAGATCAGCTCATATTGAATATAGGACATTGGCTGATACTATAGCAGTCAGCCCATGGGCGGACAGAATCCACTCCATATATATATATATATATATAACACTAATCTTGGCTTCAAACAATTATAAATCCAAAAAAAAAAACAGCTTTGAAGCCCTAAAAATAAATGCATTTTTAGTGCCCTAATATTTTCTGAAAACACCTCTACGCACCCAAAAAATATATATATTTACTATTGAGCGTTCTGTAGATTAATTGACGCTTTAATTGGATCGTTTGAGGTTGCAACCTTATGCAAAACCACGCCCATTGGATAGTTTTGCAATCCAATCGATTTTTGAGTTAAGGTGTCAAACTTACATAAAATTTCAGTTTTTATATACTCCCATACTCCCGCGAGTGCGTGCTCCTAGGGTAATAGACTATTTAGAAGCATTATAAAGCTGCACAATTTTGATAACATAACCTCCTTAACGTGGCTATCGACCTCCAACAAAAATTACAAACTACGTATGTGATCCATATGAGGAAGTAAATGCACAATATCATCCTATGAGACTACACTTTAAGGCAAGCTTTTCCTAAGCTGTAATTTTTTTGCAAAGCTACCTTTTTTTTCTTGATCGTCCTTTTGTGATGAGTTTTTGGGATTGGGCTGGTCGGCGTGGCTAAACATTTCGATACATACTCTTGAAAATATAAGTAAGCTTTTTCACCAATGGTTTACTCAGGTATCTCAAAGATGGGTGCAATATTGTAGAAATCAATTTGGTTGATTTTTCTTTGGGATATATGGAAAGAAATAAATAAAAGTATATTTGAAAGCTTGAGCGCTAATACTACGATGCTAAAATTTAATATTTTGTAGCGGATTTGTTTTCTACGCATAAAGATGATGAATTCATCCAAACTGAGCCAGATTATTGCTAATCTTAAGGTAGTGGCTAGTTTATATTCTTCTAGATCAAGTCGAATGGGAGCTATTTGAACACCACCACCCGCTAATGTACACAAACTTAATTTTGATAGAAGCTCTTTTGAAAACCTAAATGCACTGGGTTTTGGTGGATTAATAAGAGTCCATATGGGGCATGTTATTTGTTCATATTCTGGCCATTGCAGTGTCACTACAATTAATGAAGCTAAAGCTAGAGGTCTTTAGAAGACATTAAACTCGAGGGAGAGAAGATTATAGATGGAGATTCATCAAACATTATAGTTTGGAGTAAAGGCGAAGCCAATATACCATGGATGTTGACTATAATTTTTCATGAGCTATGGGACATTCTCAAAATTATACTTGCGGAAATCCACCATTGCTATAGGGAACCTAATGCTGAGGCTGATTGTCTTGCAAAAGAAGTACACTAATCTTCATTGGTGATTACATCCTTCCAGTGAATTTGTCTGTTTCTTGTAACTTGTTTTTTTTTAATAGAAATTATTTGATAATATTAGAAAAAAATATTAGGGATAACGTAACTACAAGTAAGCCTCATAAATGTCATTTTGTTTCCCAAATTACCTATACTATTTTTATTAAAAGACTATATATATTCCTATAAAATGATAAAATCTTTTATCATGTTAATAAAATATTTCATTAATTTATAATTTCCTTGAAAGGAGCCCCTACAGAAATAAAATTGAGATTTAATAAACATTTCGGTATTTATTTAATTTAAAGTGATATAAATTTGACTAAACAGGTTAGATCTTTTTAAAGAATAGGATTAGAATAATTTTTATTTTATGAGCATAATTTTAAAATGTCACAATCATAAATATTTTTATATATTTTTTATATAAAAGATAATATGATCCTTTATGACTTTCATGAAACATGCCACTAACTTATAATTACCAATAATTTATTTAGTTTTAATAATTACTTTTGTTTGAGCAAAATCCATTAAAAATCTTTCATAAATATGTTAAAAAAACCTTCGTAAATATTTAACAAAAATTTTGATGTTCGTAATTTTTGTATAATGTTTAGCTTTTTCAAAGCATTTCTAATTAAGATAATGAGATTTTGGGTACTCAAACTCAAAACCCCTTTATTGCATGTGGTTATGCTACTGCTTGGCTGCTTTGATATAAGTATAAAAATAGAAGAACTTTTTTTTATAAAGGGTGTAGTTTGCAACTTTAAACAATCAAATTAAGGTGCACCTCCAAATTTTATCATAAGATGTAATTTTGACATAAAACATTATGAAGATTGCTTGATAATCTATTTTTATATCTAATTATAAAATTTAAAATAAAAAAAATAGTTCAAATCAAGTAGATCTAAAAACATATGAAAATCTTGAAAATGGATGATACAAATAATATATTGCAAGGTGTCTTATTTCTTAGACTTGAAATCTTTATTTTTCATATCTATACATCTCATATCGAGATGGTCAAATAGAGTGTTTTTCAACATCAAAACAGTCTTTTTCAATAGATTTTTGGCTGTTCCTTAATTCTATAGTTTATAATTGCAACCTTATATAAATTATTTCCTTTTATAAAAGGTGTCAACACCTTATTTATAATCATTGGCGTCATCCGATACATGCAGTTATGTGCCAACATATGCCGAAGTGTCGACATGCGATACTTCAGCCCTTTATGTAGTGTTGAGGTAATACTAATTGAAACTTGGTAATTGGGAAATTTAAATTCCAATATTCAATGGATGGTGGTTATCAGACCACACAATGACAATACAGACCACATTAGGGCATTATGGTGTCCTATCAAATCTCCACCATGCAAAAAAAAAGGATGGTGGATCATCCCACGAGAGGATATGTATTCCTTAGGAGCAAGATACATTTTTCCCCGTTAATATATAGATGAAAATCTTCTATATAACTCGGTGAACCATGGTGTGCTCATAATCCATTGGGTCATCACTGCCCAATCCACCAATGATACGAGTTGATACATGAATATACATCCTGTTTTTCAGTAGAGATGAGGAAGTAGTTAAGCTTTACGGTCAAAAAGTACAAAAAATACTGTATTTTTAATACTTTGGATCGATAATCTAGAAAAATAGAGAGATTAAAGAAGATGTTGCACATAGAATTAGAATTGGATAGGCGAAGTGGTAATGTGCAACTGAAATTTTATGTGATCACCACATATCAATGAAGAATTATACAGGACAACTGTAAGATCAACTTTGCTTTATAGGGCAGAATGTTGGGCGGACAAAAAACAATATACTATAAAATAAGTGTAGCGAAAATAAAGATGTTGAGAAGAATGAGTAACAAGACAAGAAGAGATAGAATCCTAAGTGAATTCATTCAGGAAAATTTAAATGTGGCACCAATAGATGATAAAAATGAGAGACAATAGACTTAAATAGGTCGACCATGCGTGGATTCGACCCAATATAAAATTTGTTAGGATTGCGCGAGTTAATTCAAGTGAAAAGATTGTAAAATGCAAGGGGTGGAGCCACAAAAAGATGGTTAAAAGTAGTACGAAAAGATTTAGAAACTTATGACCTAATTAAAGGTATCGCCGGAATCAATCGGAAAAAGATTATGATGATGAAGATGGTGAACGATGGTGTACTCATAATCCATTGGATCATAATTGCCCAATCTACGGACGACTAGAGCTGATACATGAATATGCATCCCTCTTTCTCTCTTCAGATCCGTCCATTTCGTCGTTTGATGGTGATAACCTCAATAGATTACGCTCATCGGATTGTAGTCGCTTTCTATGTACTTTTTAGAGAGAGAGAGTAAAAGTGCGCAGGTAAGATTTGTATCCGAAAATAATTTGGGGGAAACCGTTTAGAGAGCGAGGGAAAGAGACAGGGAGGGATGGCTCAGGCTTTGTGGAGATCTGGCTTTCGAGCTGCACTTCGAAGAAGCGGACAGGCGCAGGTTCCTCAAAAGAGGAGCTTCGCTTCGTCAGCCCATCATGATGATACCCGTAATCTAATTCTCAACAAACCCTGGACTCTCTCTCTCTGATTTTTGTTCTCTAATCTCTTGTGTGTAATATTCATGTTATTTTCTGATATTATAATGAGAATCTGCCTTTTCTCTGGATGATTCCTGTGCATAATCTCCTTTGTTATTTGAATATTGTTTATGATTTCTCGATTGGTTGTGTATTTTCTCATTTGATTCTTATTTTAGGTATTTAATTCATATTTTTATGAGACTGTTTTTCCAGTCTTGGTAAGCTATGATGTTTTTTTATCCCTTGTTTTTTATTCATTCAGTTCATTATTTTCCCTGTTATTTTTTATGTGATCGGTTTACTACCCCCAATTCTGTGATACTCTCTATATCGAGGAAAAAAAACCATATTTGATTATGTGGATTAAACCGAATTTGTTGTGCAAACAAAATGAATGCTGGAAAGTTCTTAATCTATAATCCTGAATTTTTTTTAACAAAAAATAAAAAAGTTCAATAAAATTATTATAATCCTGGATATATTGTGTTTAGTGTTCTTTTCCAAAAATGGACCATGATTAATCAATTTCGATATCTCTCTTTCTTTATTGATACTGATAATGTATTATTTATTGCCATTATTTGAATCTTTTGCAATTCCAAAGCTGCGGTTCCTGATATATTGTTGAATATTGTCATTTTTTTGTGTCTCAGATGAAGCTGAGAAATGGGAAAAGATAACATATCTTGGCATCGTCACCTGCACCGTGCTCGCTGTATACAATCTATCCAAGGGTCATCCTCACTATCCTGACCCTCCTGTGAGTATCTTTTTCAGTTTCTCATATCCTTTATTTGGATAAGAGCCTTATTGAAATGTATTTCCATAGAATAAGAGATGGGTTTGTTTTCCTTTTGCTTTTCTTGTAAGTGTTTTTGGCATGTTTCATGTATCTATATAATTAACGTGGACGCATGTACATTATTTGCAGCATTCGTTATATGATATTTTTTTTTCTTGTTGGAATGTTAAACTTTGGACCTGGTGAGAATGGAGTTCTAGACATCAGGTTGTGGCACCTGCCACCCTGACCAACTTTGCATTTTTATGATAGTCCAGCTTAGTTTTTGGGTTTCTGTTGTTTTAATACTGTTTGGTGTTCTGAGAGGACTTTTCTTTCTTAAGTTTAAACTATAATACAATATTTATTGTTTATGTTTTTGTGGTCAATTGTATGATATTTGTTAAGTTACAAAGAAAAGGCTTTGATCTAGAAATTGGAGTTACACAATCTTGAGGAAGTGGGGTTTGATATATAGTTGCGGATTTCCTATTTTTTTTTAAATTGCATGGACTGTTGATTGGATTCTTTTGCAATATTTAGCATATTGGAATGTCTTGGAAGTAATATTCTTGTTCTTCTTGTCCAACTTTTTACTATTCATAACAATTATATGTTTCTTTAGTAGTGAGGGGGGACATGTTGACCTATGGTCAGACTGAGGATATGGCTCTTGATAGAGTGGGGTTGACCCCAAACAGTTGGGATAAGGCTTAGATGATGATGATCAACAATGATATATTTATTTTGTGTTACGTTGTGATACAGTCCTTAGTTATTAATCTTAAGTCTTAACTTATGGTCTAAGAACTAGTCATTTTTATGGTTTATGGACAAAATAGCTTGTGGAAATTTACTCTATGGACTGTTGATTCTGATGCAATGCACATATCATAAATGGAGTATCTCTGATTTATAAATCTAAAGGTGGGCAGTATTTCTTGGTAAATTCACTTTGTCATTACCAATTGTTTTGAAAGGGGAAGTGATGGGTGATTATTTGAAATTTAAATTATTATTCATGAGTCAATAAGTCATTTCAAACTACTTTTCGGTACATTGGTCTACCCAATGGTAACTTAAGTCCATGCCAAGCAGTTTAATGACCTAAAAACTAAAAAAAAATAGAATTTTTTTTGGAAAAAACAAAATTAATATACAACAGAAAAGGCATATGAATGATGGGCAAAAAGGTTTTCAACAAATAAAAAAAGTAAAAAGCTGGTTAAAGATAATCTTTACAGGAAAATAAGAAAAATTAACAAATAGAAAAACCATTAAAAACATAAAACCATAAATGTATGAAGAAAACTGGATATATTTATTAATAATTTGTTTAATCTAAATATAAATAGATTTATAATTCATTTAGTCATCTATTAAACAAATTATAAATAAATATATCTAGTTGTACACACCCCTTGAGTTTGGTGGGTTGAGTGCTGAACCTGAGTAAGGTGACTGAGTCTGACTAGACTCGCCTGAATAGTCAAACGCTGTTATATAAAATGGAAAGCGATCATAGAGAAAAGAGGATCACCATAGGTGGCTTGCAAGCACAAAATTCTGAACTAGCTTAACTTAAACGTGTTTGCGAAACTGTGTCCATCGGGTTCTCTCTTTGTTAACATGATCTGCATTTCTGATCTTGATTTTTATTTGCCAATAGTTGAAAAATGCTTTGTCTACAGCCAAAGGAAAGAGTTTTTGCGACAATGTAATCATCTTCCATCAGATGTCTTCAGCTCCTAACTGCCACATGGGTGCATTTGTAGAGTACGTCTTATGGATAAGTGAGAGTTGCTAAAATGTAAGATCTCAATCATGTAGTGCCCATGTAGGTGGTTTGGCCTCTGTGCATGTTGAATGTGCTCAAACCTCATCGACGAAGAGTTCGCATGATATCACTTTTATATCATAGCGGCTCTGGATGTGCTTTGAAAAGTTTCGATGTTTGTAATTTTAGAAACAAGTCCCCATTTTTGTCTCTTGAGTGAGATTGATATCCACAATATTGTCTTCGATCCAGTCCCTAAAACGCATACTTTGCAGCCCATTAGGGCTGTAAAATTTCAACTAGGAATTTACATCATAGACTTAGAGCCCCCTCCCCCCCTCATCTCTAATCCAGATTACTGATGAATCCTCTTTCACTAATGAAGCCTCCTTCATTCTCCTTCTATTGTTTTGAAAGGTTTTGTATTCAGTGCGTCCTGTTTGTGGCACACTTAAAACTCTATGTTCTTTAGTTTGTTGGAGATTTTCTGAACTTTGAATGTAAGAGCTTTTTACTTAAAAAAGAAGAGATACCATTTATTGGGCTTTCTGCTTATAGTTAGAACCTAGACTTGTGTTGCCTTTCACATACCGAAGTGCCATTTGAAAAGCAGGAAATGTCGTCAGCTCCTAACTGCCACATGGGTGCATTTGTAGAGTACCTCTTATGGATAGGTGAAGATCTGAATTATGTAGGGCTCATGTAGGTGTTTTGGCCTCTGTGCATGTGGATGTGCTTTGAAAAGTTTCCATGTTTGTAATTTTAGAAAGAAGTCCCCATTTCTGTCTCTTGAATGAGCTTGATCTCCACATTATTGTCTTTAATCCAGTCCCTAATATGCATACCGTGCAGCCCATTAGGGCTGTAAAATTCAATTACCAATTTACATCATAGACTTAGAGCACTGCTCCTCATCTTTAATCCAGTTTACTGATGAATTCTCTTTCACTAATGAAGCCTCGTTTATTCTCCTTCTCTTATTTTAAAAGGTTCTATATTCAATGGGTCCTGTTTGTGACGCACTTAAACTCTATGTTCTTTATGTTCTTAAGTTTCTTGGAGATCTTCTGAACTTTCAATGTAATAATTTTTACTTATTATGAAAAAGGAGAGATACCATTTATTGGGGTTTCTGGTTATAGTTAGAACCTAGACTTGTGTTGCATTTCACATAACAGGAAATGTTTAAATGCTTTTGCATTCCATGGAAATGGGGCAACCAGTTTATGTTATCATATTATAACATATTCAACACGTTTGACGACATATTTGGGAGACCCATAGCATGCTGTCAATGGCTCAATGACATCCCCTTGTTTCCAAAACTTGCATTAGTTCTTAACCTTTCTGTCAGTCTTTTTTCATCTCAATATAACTTGCTGGAAGCATATTAGCAATCTGTTGTTGTTATTAGGACCGGCTGGACACTTTTGAATCCTAAACAAAGAGCTGGACTTTTTTGAATCCTACACAATGTGTTTCCTCTATAAGATATTGATCATCAGCAATATGTCATTTATGTCAGTAGTAACCTGATTGGTTCTATTAATCCGGCAAAGCCAACGAATGAGCTTTGCTGAATGCTGATATCTGAGTGGATGTCCTGCATACTTCATATTGACATTTTTTGACAAGTCTTTCTTTCATATCTTCTTTTCTATAGGGTCTTGTTTTATTTTATTAGAAATCTTGCATGCCATTTTCTCATTTAGGAAGACAAATGGATAAAATTATTGCACTGTTTCGAAATGCTTTATCTGATCCTTATTTCCTTGTCTTTCCATGCAGCCATACCCCTACCTGCATATTCGTAACAAGGAGTTTCCTTGGGGTATGTTCACATGATCTATGGTTTATGTGTTTATATTCTAATTTATTTCAATTTAATAATATTTGTCAATGGATTATTTATTTATTTTATTTTATTTTTCATGTTCTTAACAAGGAATTTCCTTGGGGTATGTTCACATGATCTGGTTATGTTTCTGATTTTTTTGTTAATGGTTTATGTGTTTATATTCAAATTTATTTCAATTTAATAATATTTATCAATGGATTATTTATTTCTTCTTCTTCTTTATTTTGGCTATGCTAGTTATTCGTTCATTTGTGCTAATTGGTTCTGCAGTCATCTATGCTGTTTGAACAATATCTGCTAGTGAACAAGACCTAATTAGTGGTTGTGATTATCTAGTAGTTGTTCACAAAGGGTATATTAGCAATCTCTTGTGCTCATTCTGATGCAGGTCCATTTTCTATTAAGTTAATATAAGGCCAGAAAAAAACTAGGTTTGCATATGTAGGTTCTGTGATATAGGTTTTAGTTTGCAGGGAACTCAATAGGTTAAAAGCATTATGCTTCAAAGAAAACATGGGAGCATGAGAACCTTCGAGTCCTTGAATCTTGGATTCTGATCCGAACTTCGCTTTTCTGTGTTGACCTGCTTCTGTTCTAATTGAACTGTTCATAGTTTCAGAAGGATTGCTGGTTCTTTTGTAGTCAAGAATTGGGAAACATTTCTTTCATGTATTGGTACTGTTCATTTCAAAAAGCAGCATCTTGTGAAAGTGTATGTATTACGAGGCAAGCTGGTCACATGACACTGCCTTGCAGTGTATTTACCATGAGAAAAGAAAACAAAAACCACTGCTTTGTTGTGGCTTATTCTTAAATTCCCATACTATGCCTAGTATCCTAAATGAAAAATCAAACCCTAACCTCGTTGTTATGTAGGGAGTTTTGGCAATTAAATGAGAATTTCTTTGTTTTATTACCTTGGTTAAGTCCGACTTGGAAGCATGTCATCAACTTGCTGATCAACAACAACTTATTTTGTTATTAGTGATGATAATGATGCCAACCATATGCTTTTATTTTATTTTTCTTTCATGCATAGATTATGGACTTCCTTATTTTTCATTTCTTCAATTGCATGTCTGATGCAATGGAGTTCACCTCAAGATCATTTCACAAACTCAAACTCTTTACTCAATCACCAATAATTTCCTTACAAAGAAGGGACATCTTCCCTTTAAATACAAACTTATAAGGAATAATAAGTAAAAATTGAATAAAAAGAACAAATTAAACTCTATCACTCCCTTACCTTTTAAAAACAAGTCTAACATATCCTAACCAAAACAACCATACTAATCCCTATCCATATCCATCTTTTTTTTTAAAACTAAACTTTCGATTCTACCCCTTAAATCTTTACAATTAAAAAAGACTAAAATAATCCTACAGAAAGTTAAAAATCTAAATAATATATTTTTTAAATCATAAAAAAATATAAAAATAAAAAATAACAAAAATAAATTTTTTATTTGCATCATTGTCTCGGGGTTGAGAGAAGCTTGACCTCGAGCTTTTTGAACTTAAATATTTTAGAAACCTTTTCAAAAGTTGGTGCAATCCCGGCATTCTTCTCGGTACTTTGTCGTCAAGCGACCAATTCGTCAAATACTGTGTATGCAACTTGAAGTAGAACACTTGATCTCAATTCTCAAGCTTAATCTTAATTTCTCCTTCAGACTCATTGGGTTGGATTTCAAATACTGCATCACACATATCTTCTTCTTCATAATTGATTTTCAATTTTTTTTGCATCTTTGGGTTATTGACATCGCCTTTTGTATCATAATCTACCTCTCTTGATATCCTTGTTCCTCCTGTTGCAATCTACTAAATAGATCTTATGGACTTTGTTGTATTACTTTGTCGATACTTTTTATCAAGTTTTCTTTGAGTCTCTCAAATCTTTGATCTAATCGCTCAAATATTTGATCTACGCACTTCATAGCTAGATCAACAATTGTTTGTGATCATTAGTGATTTTAAGGCTCTGATACCAACTGATGCAGGGAAAAATAATAACATGAAAATAAAAAGGATTTTGAGAGATTATACCCTCTATGGGTCTACAAGGGAGTCCCCCCCAAAATCTTTTCACAAGATCAAATTCTTTACTTTTGAGAGATTATACCCTCTCTGGGTCTGCAAGGGAGTCCCGTCCAAAATCTTTTCACAAGATGAAACTCTTTACTCAATCACCTATAATCTCCTTACAAAGAAGGGACCTCTTCCCTTTAAGTACAACTTATAAGCAATAATAAATAAAAATAAACAACTAAACTCTATCTCTCCCTTATCTCTTAAAAACATGTCTAACATATCCTAACAAACCAACCATAATTCATATCATCTTTTTTAAAGAAACTAGACTTCCAATTCTACCCCTTAAATCTTTACAATTAAAAGAGACAAGAATAACCCTAAAAAAGGCTAAACGTCTAAATAACACATTTTCTAGGTCCTAGAAAAATATAAAAATAAAAAATTAGAAAAATCACTTTTTTATTTGCATCAATGTCACTTCAAATTTTGCTTTGGGGGATGAGATGAAACCAAGTGTTTCTATCTTTGGCTTCCTATCATTCATGCAGTCTCCTGCTTTTCCTTTTTCTAGTTCATGTCTATGTGCTATATGAGGAGGACACTTTGTCCTGAAAGGACATGACATTGATCCCATACGTTTCCTTGTTAATGTCTGTGTACTACCTCTATCTGAGAGTCAGATCACCAGCAAAGTCAGTATGTATAAGTTGATGCATGCTTTTATGTCTCCCCTGTGAATGCCATTGTTGATGGAGTCAATGTTAGTTGAGATTATGAAAATGGTGCCACTATAAATTCGGTTGTTTATAACTCAACTTTAAGGCTGAAATAGCATATACTGAGTCCCTTTGTCTTGAATTTTCTGAATGATTAATTTTCTAAAATTCATAAGCATGTTGTGTTTCCAAATTACAAAAAAATGCTATATCCCCTTATCCGTCACATCTCTCTAAGTTCCTACATCCTAGTCTCTGTCATTTCCCACACTCAGGTATGCAACCTTGTGTATTTCATTTCCGACGCCCAGGTTCGCATCCTTGTTTTCTCTGTCATTTATGAGACTGAGTCCGCACCCTTGTCTGTATCATTTCTGACACTCCGGTCCATGGAGGTATGAGAGACTGTTTCTCATTATTAAGTAGAATGTATGGGATTATATAATTGCCAATGCCCTGCCAAGTCAAGAGCCTGAACCCAACGTCCAGAATACCCAATAGTTAATTCCTTAAAACTATCCCTTCTCAACATTGGAAGCACCCTGTGCATCATCTTAACATGAAGAAGTATTTTAACTTTGCATGAATTTTGAACTCCTCGAGTTTGAAGAGGTGGACTATCTAGGAACTTATTCTATTTTTGTATACTCACTAACTAGTAACAAACATATAATCATTTTTAGAAGCATAGATAGATACCTTTTTTTGATAATATGCACAGTTAGATAGACATATATATCAGTGTGTACTCATTTTTAGAATGTGATGATTGTTTGTGTGAGTGTCAGTCCCTTATGCCTCAGTTAGTGTGTTAGTCCCTTACGCTGCAGCTTAGTGGTAGACAGATCTGTTTGGCCGAGGGAGGTCAAGGGTTCGAACTCTTGAACCTTGTCCTGTAAAGCCCAAAGAAGTTTCACTGGCCTTGTTTTTGAGTGTTGTGGCTGTGTGCATGCACTTTGAAAGTTTGAAAAAGTTAGGAACTATTATATATTTTTTGAAAAGAAAACGAAAGACTTTTATGTTTTCAAAAATTTATTATTTACCGTTTTTTAGTTGGCCCAACTGATCAAACTAAATGGACTGTTTTATGGTTCTATTGACTCGTTTAGTCCTAATAGCAATGAATTTATGTTATCATTGTGCAACTATTTCTTGGTGCTTGGAAATTTTTTTATGGTTCCACTCCTTGATTCAAGAAGAGGTCCGCCCAGCGCCTAGGCGGGTAAGGGGGGCCTGGGCACATTGCCTAGACATGGGGGGACCAACTAGGAGGGATGTCCTTGGGTGCCCGCCTAGTACCCTGCATAGGCGGGTGTCCAGGAGACTACACCCGCCTAGGTGCAAAAATACCCATCGAGTGGGGTGTTTTTGGTGTTTTTTTTGTTTGGATTATAAAAAAATCATGATTATACATTTTTAATACAAAATCCAGACCTAAAATAAGATTACTGGACACCCTTTGCCCCCTTTTGAACCTAGGTCTCGTGCTGGGTGGCCTAGACCACCTTGGCCGCCTAGGCGCCGCCCGCTTTTTTTGAGCACTGGTTCCACTAAATGGCCAAATTGATGGGAGATTTTTAAGGTAATGCCTTCCAGTGTTGCACTGGTTCCACTAAATGGCCAAATTGATGGGAGATTTTTCAGGTAATGCCTTCTAGTGTTGCATTTCTTCCTTTGCGAATTGGGGATAGGGTTGGCAATCAGGTCGGGTCAATTTGGGTCCAAATGATTTGGACCCGAACCTGGTTGGGTTCGGGTTAGGATTGGCATGGACCCATCGGGTCGGGTCGGGTATGGGTCGACCCAACATGACCATACCTGGTACAAAATATATAAAATGCATAAAATAACTATACTGAATAATACATACTTAAAAAAAAAAAATTATCTTTTTTAATTTCTAGACCCAGGTATGGATCGGGTCTGGGTCCAAGTCACTTGGACCCGACTCAAGGCCAGGTTGGGTCCGGGTCTGCATCTGGGTGAAACCTAGTTGGGTCGGGTCCAGTCTTGGTTGGGGCCGACCCAGACCCGACTGAACTGATCGGTTGCCACCCTTAGTTGGGGAGCCTTTTTATATTGTGCATTAGATGCAGAAATATCTTACTAGGATGAATTTACCCACTTTTAAATATGTCTGAAGCAGATGTCATCCCGATTCCTAGAATATGGAGCAATGTGTCGGTCTAGATCTAGATTAGAATTGTCGGTCCAACTCACATCAGTTGCAGTTTAAGGAGATGGGAAACTTTTGATAAGTAGGCAGAACTATGACTTCTAAACTATTGGGTTGTAGTTGCTATTATTTTGAAGAGGGAAATTTTATCTACCCATGAGAGAGAAACAATTTAGCACCATACCCATATCTTCTGATTCAATTTCAAAATACCCATGTAAAAGTCAATGATCATGACTTGGAATGGTTGCAAATGGGTAGAATAATAAGTAATTCATATTTTATGGGTATTTGTATAATTTTCCCTTATGAATATTTTTGCTATCCCCTAGTGAGAGGTTAGTAAAGCCTGCATGCTGCATCACCCAAAAAAATGTAGCTTGAATATGATGGAATCAATTATGCAAGCTTAATTACTATTAGTAAGTTATTGTTCTGATAAATAGAAAAACAAGTTTTCCTTAAGGAATTAACATATGCATGTACTTTAGAGGAAAACGCTTATGTAGAGCCGAGGCTCGAAACAATCAAATTGGAGCCCACCTCAAAAATTTCACTAGAAGAGGTTATTTTGATACTCAAATATCTCCAAATTGATCATCTCGACATCAAGATGCATGGACATGAGAAAAAATGAATTTCAAGTTTTGAAAATTTAGCATCTTGTAACTCATTTTTGGACTGTCAATTTTCAAGATTTTCAAGTTTTATAAATGTGCTCAATCTACACCATTTTTGAAGCTTTAAATTTTATAATTAAAGATGAAAATATATTTTAAGGCTATCACAGTATTGAAACCACATTTCTCAACACTATTTGAAGGTGAGCTTTACTTTGATTGTTCAGAGCCTCGGCTCTGTACAAACGCCTTTTGTTAAATGGTCTCAGTCATATAGCCATAGTATAAAATAGAGCTAAGTCGGTGGCAAGAGATCACTTCATCCGGATCCATTGTGGAATTTGCTCTAAAAGTGGTCCAGCTTATTGTATGGTTGCTATGATCTTAAAGTCTTGAACCCCCCCCCACTTAAAGAAAAGTTTGTCTTTCGAAGTTATTATTTTCTATGGTAATGATGCTGGTGTGTGTTTGTGTTTGCACAAACAACCGGGTGTTACAGTGTCCATTTCTTTTATCTCTCTGTGGATCCTTTAGAAATGAGTGGGGCACTTGTTGGCCGCCTGTTTTATTTCAATGGCATCTTTTTCTGTTTGATTTGAGTTTTATCGCTCGTCCTTTATATTCAACCCATCTCAATTCAGTGATCTTCATTTTCATTTTTCTCCTATGGTTCAAGCAACAATCAGAAATTTGTCATACTGAGTTGAATCATTTGTTGAAAACAATAATTGATGATCTTTTGTTAATTACATTTGGCTAGATTCTTTAGAAATGTAATTTGTATTATTCATCAACCATTAAATTTCTCTGGTAATTTATCTTGGACAAACTAGTCACATTATAACCCCTCATCCTTCTTGATGTGTTGGAAGCACGTCTGAACAAGTCGCATTATATTGCAAACTAAAGTTTGACACGTGACCTTCATTCTTATGCAATGATAGAAATCCAAAAAGCTCCATGTGAGAAATGTGAATTTATTCTAAGGGAACTGATTTGCTGTACATTTATCTTCCAAAACAAAACAAGATATGCAAGGATTATTTTGCATGACTTTCGAACTACAAAAATCATTATCATCGTTAGAGCTTTATCTTAATTATTTGGAGTCGGCAACATGAATCTTGTTCTCCCATTCTTCTCTATAATAGGCCATACCGTCAATAAGATGTTCAGGATTCATGAAAAGATATGGACCAGAACTACAGAAATAGAGAACTTAAGTCCTTCTACAACTAGTAACCTGGTATCAAAGTGTTTCTAATGGACCAGTCGGACAAGTAATCTGTTGATTGTATGCTTGCTCTTAATTTCTCTTTGTTACAGATCCGCAAGATCTATACTATTTCTTGAGTTTCAAATTTTATTGTTGGTGTTAGGAAATTAATTTTAGAGCCATCATAGAGATTTCCGTTGCCGAAAGTACTTTCCGGATGAGGATTTGAGGTGAGGCTTTGTTTTGTTTTTATAAAGCCTAGACCTTATAGAAACCTCATTCTTCTTTTTATTTCTTTTAGGGGAAATGTATCCAATATCTTTTGATTTAATTTCAAAATACATAGAAAGGTACATGAACATGAGGTGGGATAGTTGCAAATGGGTAAAATGTTCAATAGTTCATCTCCCATGGGTATATTTTCATAAATTTCTTTCTTTTATAACCACTTGCCCTGTTTACTGTTTCCCTACTGCCTGAGTTTATGATCTGACAGGAAGAAGGAGCTCGTTCTTTGGTTCTTATCTGATTCGCTTGTTACATGTTACCCTTTTTTTCTTTATTTTTTTCTTGTCAGCATATACGTCTTCCATGTTCGATTAATTATATGCTTGGTTTTCTTGATAACAAATAGTTGGCTTCTTCTTGCTTTTGTAAATTGCAGGCCCAGATGGTCTCTTTGAGGGGAAAAAGCGCAGCAAGCATTAACATCCTTTGCTAATGGAAGTAGGATGCGCCATTTCATCAGCTGTTCAGGCAGATTATTGTCTCATGTTTTTGCCCTTTTCTTATTTCTTGGAGTTGCTCTGTTTTCTGTTTCCACAATAAGGAGAATGCTGCTACTCTTTGAAGGAATTTTCATTTTCATTCTTATACGTTTCTTGGTGTGATGGGATGTTAATATTTGATTTGACACTCGCCATGCTTTGCTTGACGTCAATAGGTCTCGCTCTTTGATTTGACACCTCTCACATTTTGCTGGTTGACAATTGCTATCTAAGGGTTTTTTTAGAAAGAGATTATTTATGTTTTGTATATGGAGGTTACAATCATTCTTGTTTAAGTTTCAAAATGGGTGGTGTAAGAGTGTTATTGAATAGACACAAAGTTAAAAAAAAAAAAATTATAGGATTATCGGATTCGCTTCAAGCCATTTAATTTGACATCTAGTGAATGTGAATGATTGTCATCTCCATATACAAAAAGTAAACTCTTTAGATGTGAAAGTGAATGGCTTGGAGTGAGTCACGTCTGGCCGAAAATATTTTCTAAATATTTTTTGTTATAAAATGATTATTTCACATTTATGATCTCTATGTCATTAAAATTTTGGTAAAAAAAATCTATGTCAAAAATAAATTTTTATGAGGGGGGGCTTATTTCTACATGGATTCAAAGAAACTTCGTGTGTGGAATCGAGTTTTAGAGTAGTAAATTTTAAGTTCATCGCTGGTGCTGTTGTATTCTAGAGTAATTTACCACCCTAATGGTACATTTAGAAAACCCTACTTCAAGAAATTTGTTTAACATATTAAACCTCAAATTTATTAAAATTACTATTGCTTTCTTCTCTCTATCAAATTAAAGAAGGGCATTGGATGTAATTATGAAGGGCATTAGATGTAATTAATAATCATTATTTTAAAATGGAAATTTAATTTGAAACTTAAAAAGTAAAATTTGAAAGTTTTAAATCTCTCTCAATTTCCGTGCCCCATCCTCTCTCTTTCGTATTTTCAAATTTTGAAATCTTCCTCAATGCCTATGACCCGATTCTGTCTCACCATGCAGGCTGCAGCCCCTCCCACAGAGAGAGAGATAGAGAGAGGAAAATGAAAATGAAAATGGAAAATAGAAAAAATTCTAGTAAATTTAAAATTAACTAAAATTTGGAGGGATCCATATTTACATTTATAAATTTAAAGGAATGAAATAAGAGAACAATACTATGTTGTAAAAAAAATATTGGGGTAAGGTTTCCTGAATTATGGTAGGAAAAATATTTCGTAAAGCTATGGTTTCATACGGTTGTGCCTTACATCTTGGTGCAAAACACAATGCTGGTGTAAAAAAATGTGCAAATCGAATGTCTACCCCTCGACAATCATAGATTTAAATTGCAAACGGTCATAGATTTTAAAAACAATGGATCTCAATCCCTAACAAACTATCTTGCAGTACTTTTACTTGTTCTAGACCATTGATTTCAAAGTCCTCATAAATTTGCAGTACTTTTACTTGTTCTAGACCATTGATTTCAAGTCCTTATAATCCACTAGATCTGTGACATTCTCTAAGCTTCGAATTCTTAGAAATAGATTTGCATGCCATTTTAAGATTTTCTAATGGCTAATTTGATTTTTTAAGTTTAGATTTTGAGTACAACTCTGCCAGATTTCATCGAGCTGCAGCCTGTCAAATCTTCTTCTATAATGTATTACCATTTGATAGATTTGACTGATGAAGTTCTATTAAAGCTAAGACTGTACTTTTAAACTCTATTGGAAATCTTGGATCCAACATAGTTCCAAGATTGTGCTTATCTAAGCAAACATTCAAAAGAAGGTTTATCATAGATAGTATTTTTATAGCTCAAGATTACATCATTCTAGACATTTGAGTGGTGAACCTAGGGTTGCGATTAAGCTATATATGAAAAAAGTCTATAACAGGGTGGACTGGGAGATATTACAAGATATTATATTATGTATGGGTTTTGGGGATAAATAATGAAGATGGATTAAGGGATGCCTTTCAAGTGCCCATTTCTCAATGTTACCCATTTCTCAATATTAATCAATCAAAGCAACTAAAGGTATCAGACAAAGTGACCTTCTATCCTATTGTTTATTTACTCTCGTGGTAGAAGGTTTCAATCAGATGCTTACAAATGTGGAAGGAAGAACAAGTTTCAATGTGTCTAGATATGACTTAAGTATATTTCATTTACAATATGCAGATGACATTGATCTTTTGTGAAACAAAGTTGAATAAGATGGGTTATATTATTAGATTTCTGAGATTATGTGAGATGGTATTAGGTTTGAAGGTTGATTTGGGAAAACTATTGTAGTAGGGGTTGCTTGCAATGATGATGTTGTAAATTCCCTATCATCTTCTATTGGGTACAAGGTTGAACATTTCTCCATTTGATACCTTGGCTTGCCCATTTCAGATGGCAGATTACCTAGAGCTGCTTAGGACCCTGTTATTCAGAGATTTCAGGTGAAGCTTAACCTCTAGAAGTCTAAGTTCCTATCTCTAGGGGTTGGAATATCCTAGTTAAATCATCCTTAGCAAATTTGCCTATTTATTAGATGTCTATCATGCGAATGCCTGGCTCGGTTGTCAAATCGATTGAGAGATTGACGAGGGATTTCATTTGCGGTTCTTTTGGCGATAGGAAGTATTATTTAATCAAGTGGAATAGAGTGTGCACCACGAAAAAGGAAGGAGGATTGGGTCTAAGGACCCTCAAGCTCATTAACAAAGCACCATTAGCAAAATGGTGGTGGAGATGCACTCAAGGTGAAGATCAGTCATAGAGGCAGGTGTTGATGTTTAAGGATGGTGTGGACAGACATTCCAACTAGGGAAAGTGGTGGTGGTCATTAGTCATATTTTTGGAAAGGTATATACTGCTGCAAACAAATTGTTGAGAGGTGTGTTTATTGACTGATTGGAAAGGGGGATTATATATCCTTTTGGTTCCACAAATACCTAGGTGACAGGCCCTTCAAAGTATGTCACCCAGCTACTCTTGACAGAGTATCACAGCCATTGGCAAAGGTTAATGAGGTGGCAGTATGCAGTGACTATAACTGCATATGGAGTTTTGGCAGTTTATATGACGGTGCCAGATATCATGATCTTTCAACTCGCTCAGTTATTATTGGAGTTGGAATCAATATACATGTCTTATAATGCTGATGATGAGGTGATTTGGGAGTTGGATAGTGATGGATTATTCTTGGTTACGTTTGCATATCGGCTACTATTTCAATGACCAAATTAGATGGCCTTAACTTATGTTGAATAAGGTTTGGAGATGACCAATTTCTCACAAGGTGTAAACATTCTTATGGATTGTGATGCAAGCTAAGACACTTACAGTAGATAATATAAAGTAGATAATATAAAAAACAGTGGTAACATTTTGGTTAACATTTGCTTAATGTATACAGAAGATGAGGAAACGGGAGACGATCTGTTCTTGCACTATTGTTTTGGCTCTAATGTATGGGATGGGCTTTTGATGTTTCAGCTTCTCCTTGATGCTGCCTAGAAGCCACAAATATAGAATCAAACACTTCAATATGGGTGGTTTGACTAAGTATGGGAAAATAATTTAGAGAATCTTTTGGGGGCAGTCTTATGGGAGATTCAAAGGGAGAGGAATATTTTGACTGAGTATGGGAAAATAATTTAGAGAATCTTTTGGGGGCAGTCTTATGGGAGATTCAAAGGGAGGGGAATAGGAGAACGTTTGAGGGGAGTGTTTTGAATAAGAAGAGAATTATAAATAAAATCCAACATACATTTTGGAGCTAGTTTTCAATTACAAAGGAGGGTTGGGGTGTCTCGGAGGTTGATGTTAAGTTGAATTTGGGGAATTTAGCCAGACAATGCAATACAAAGATTAGACCAACAGGCAGATGGGATCCTCTTATGTTGGATTGCTACCAACTAAATTTTGATGGAAGTTTACTTTAAAAATTTGGTCTTACAGGAGTAGGGTGAGTGATAAACAATCAGGATGGTAAGGTGTTGTCTGGCTATACTGGACCATGTGGAAACACCGATGCTAATAAGGTAGAATTACTCTCTCCTTTGCATGGACTGAAGATTTTCAAAGCAAAGTAGGTAGGATGCCATCTTATAGTGGAAGGGGGTTCACTCAATGTCATTAGCTGGTGCAAAAAGGAGCACGAGGTACCGTGGTGCTTGAGATCAATTTAGCTTAATCTTTTGGATATATGTGGATCTTTGGAGGCCTCTTTTAGACATGTATATGGAGAAGCCAATGAGGTGGATAATAGCTTAGCTAAGAGGGAAGTTTGTTTGATGGGGCTTTTTGTTTATTAGGAGTTGTGCCTCCAATGTAATTAACATTTTGTATCCTTTGATTAATGAAGTCTTTAACATTGTTAAAAAAAACGTCAATTTATATAGTATAAGATCATTTACTTATAATATAAGGGGTCACAATCATTCTCGACCATTGAATGTGAAATCATACAAATTAAAATGTGTAACAACATTTGAGAATTTTTATTTTTGGGGTTTTGTGCCGAATCACTGAACATTCATATCCACTCGATTTCAATCTAATGGTCAATAATAATTGTGATCTCCTTGCACTAAAAGTAATTGGTCTCCTTGTATATGTTTCTAAAAAAAACAAAAAGGCAAGGCGTGATGCTTGTGAGCTAGCGTATTTCCTCTTGTTGCCATCTGGTGTAGCAGTAACATGAATTATACCTGCCACTGGGCCCTCACTTAGCAGTAGAATCAATTGTACTGGCCACTAAGTTAGTCAAAATCATTCTGGCTGTTAGTTCAATTGATTGGACCAAATTTAAAAAAAAGGAAAAGAAAAAAATAATAGCTTTAGAATATGAAATATATATTTTTAAAAAAATTTAACTACTTTTATTTAGCCCTGACCGGCCAAAAAGGGTAAAAAAATGAATCCTGAATGGTTATCGATCATACTCAAAGTTTTGAACACCAGTCAGAGATTCGATTGATTAGACCTGCCAAAACCGTTCCGGTCTTGATAACTATGCTGCTTAGAGTATTTCCTGTCTCTCTCTCACACATATACACGCACTGATACACTGATGACCCAACAATGAGCCGTTGGCCTCTAAAGCCATTCAGAAGGGTCACATTCAATAGCGACGATAGGATACTCCATTGATGCTCTCTGATAGAGAGAGAGAGAGAGAACATGGGATACCTCATATAACTCAAGTAATTCTTTATGACAGGTATTAACACCGTTTTGAGACTCGGCTGAGTTACTTGCCTCTTTGGTGAGTGAGTTACGCCGAGTTAGTCAGTGCAATTTGGTGTATATTAAAAAAAATCAAAAAAATATATATAGGAAAAAGTTTTTATAAGGATTCAACCTTATAATGTAGAACTACGGATACACCTTAAAAATCCATCGGAAAAGGTAGTTTTGATGTTGAAAAACCCTTTGATTGATCATCTCGACATTGATATGTATGACCATGAAAAATAAAAAGATTTTAAGTCTTAGAAATAGTGCATTTTACAACATATTATCTATACCGTCTATTTTCAAGATTTTCATATGTTTATAGATTTACTTGATTTTAACCATTTTTAAAATTTAAAATTTTATAATTAAATATAAAAATAGATTTTGAGATAATCCTAAGAATATTTTACATCAAAATTATATACCATGATAAAATTTGATGGTGCACCTTATCTCTACACCTACGGATGCATCCGTATGCCAACTGCACCCATGTATAAAAATATGGAATTCTTGTATATAGTTGATATATACGGCTTGGATGCTATTAGCAAATATTAGTAAGTTTTTTTTGCCACATGCCCTATCTTTTTTTGGATTTTTACAAATATCCCTAACTATATATCAATTTTGTTTAAGGAAAAATATACAATAAGACTATTTAATATTTGATACATGGAGGTTATAATTAATCAATAACTAGGATACAAGTTCAAAAGAAATCTTTCCTGTGACACATCCAAGATGTCAGATTTCACATAGGATCATACACGCCCTTTTGTTAAATCCATGTTTTTACACTTTTTTCAAGGTTATTTGGACTGTTTAGGTTGTTTTTGGTTTTATTTGACGTTTACTACTGTTATTTTATGTTTTCCATTTTTTCTTTTTTCTTTTTTTTTTTACTTTTCAAGTGCTTTTGGCCTTGTACAATACTCAGGCAGATCCACTTAGACTCGTTGGAGTAACTTACCTCATGCAAGGGCTGAATACCTGGCCTGAGGAGAGTCTCGAAAAGTTGGGTAAGAGAAGTGAAGGATATCTCAAGTGATTTGATCCAACACAAGATCCAAAATCCTTACTACTCAGTTGTTCTTGATAAGGTTGGTCAAATTATATACACCTGTCAAACTTTCCCAGATACCATAGAGATGGAATCTCAGGAATGTGTGAAAAGATACAAAGGGGTTAATCTGAACTTCCAAAGCTGAATTATGGAAATGCAATCACTTGACCAAACTTTCACTGCATAATACTACTTAGCCTTGAGCCCATTCCTAACAGACACCTAAACATTAATTGATGGATAATATTCAATTACTTGATTCTCTTAGGAGACATCTGACACTTAAGGTAAACAAAAAGAAAAGAATTTTTTTTTTTTTTTGAATTACTTGATAACAGCGTATCACATGAATTGTAAATTCGCGCAATGGTGTAGCCAGGGGCATTTTGTTGATCCTTTATTTATACTGGCTCCTAATACTGGTCCTTTGGTTATTAGTTTACATTCACGTGTACTTAACGGGATTTATTACTTCAATTGTGAATTAATCCAAATCTGGTTTATTCCAACTTAACACTGTAGAAGAACAATACTTGGAGTTCAAAGGCATAACAATAGAAATCCTAATTCAAGCAGTGGTTGGTAGATGCTTCCTACTTTAAGAAGTGGTTGGTAGATGCTTCCTAATTCAAGCAGTGGTTCAAAGCTAGCGAATTCATGACCCTAGACCACTAATCCAAAATTTTAGCATTTCATATGCAACACCCATGCAGTTTTGGATTCCCATAAAGTGTTGATAGATTTAAATTTGGAAAATGTTATGGTGCAGTACACCTCATTTACCCACGTCCTTGAATGAATGAGGACCCAAAAAGCTTTAACTTCATTCTCTTCAACCCTAGGGATCAATTTCCTGGGAGAGAAGATAAGAAAGAACCAGGAAATAGATTTGAAGCCTTCAAAATGCTCCATCACCAATGCCCCCAAAAGCTGATCTAAAGTTTTCAATGGACAATAGATTTACCAGATTTGTAGCATTTTAGGAGCTCCAAATCCAATTTTCTGTGACAGAGGATATTTGCAAGTGATGAGGAGCTTCGTTGGGTTCTCATCTATTTGAAAAAAATGGAGATTGAGGTGCCCTAAATTTGATCTGCATCATCGGTTGGGGTATTTGGCCAATAGTTATAACTTGGATAGGGTTCATCATAAAATGGCTAAAAATCTTACTTTTCCTTTTTATGTTTCCATGTTATAAGGTTTTATTTATTTATTTAGATCGTAAGGATAGTGTCTATCAAAAATAGGTTCCAAAACCATGTTACTTCTATTGATGATTGTTCCAACACATATTTACTTCTTACTGTGTAAGTCAACTAACTAGATAGAATCTCTGCCAGATTTTTGCGCAATCATTCTCCTGAGATGCTCCACAAGAAAGACATCTAATCTTTTGGGTGGCCTATTTGTCCTATCATCAGTCCATGAGTTCTATAGAAAACATCTTAGTAGGCACATTTTCCTGTCATACCAATGAAAATTCTCTTTTTCCAAGATATTGATACTTCTGTGGACAAGGTCTCTTATGTTTCTTTCTTGCTTGTTTTGGAAGCTTCACTATGTCTCAGTTTACAAAGAACTTTTATCTTTTAAAGTCCTATCCCCTCCTTTGTTTGCAGCACCTTGTCTCTGTCCATCTACCTTAATGTATGTGTTGCGTCCAGATAGCAGACAAATGATATTGGTTAAGTACAGAACATCTGAAGGCTTATTGCACAAGACTGAATCCAAGCAATGTATGTCATCTGGTTTCATTAAGCATGAAAAACTCCATGAATTCCCTCTCAATCCCATAAACTGATACAGTTGAAGCTTTTGTAATAAACATCAAAGAACTTATTTGCCTCTAGAGTTTCGTGTTTCATTTCATCCTCATTGTTCTTTGAACACTTCTGTTAAAAGTAAACTATGGTTATAATCCCTCATCTGGTTGCCACTCTAATCTTTGTTACTTTACTATCTTCCATTTAGGAAGCCTCTTCCTAAAAGGAAGCAAAATACAAATGTTCATACTAACTTGTGCGGAGAAAAAATCGAAGCATTTGATTAGGTTTGCTCCCAAGACCTGGTGAACTTCCAGGTGATAAGACACCTATTAAGAGACCATAGAAAGTGAACATAAATAAAATAGGTATAAAGCTCACCTAGTAACCAAGGACTAGAATAAGAAGTATATAGCTAACATTTTCATTATGGTCGAACCTTACACCTCCATGAGTTCTATATAGCTGATATTTTTATTATGGTCGAACCTTACACCTCCATGAGTTTTATCCAATGTAACTATGAGAAAATGGCCCTCGTATTGACAGATGCTTAGAATGTATCAGAAACATGTTAAGGATGCCATTCATGGAATCCTACCAAAGAGAACCTACATATTAAAGTTTTTAGACTTAATCATCGTTGGTGGTCTTTTGACTAAAGAACGCAACTCATGGATTCAATCATTTGGAGTTTGGCTGAAGTATTTTGGTTTGTTATTGTAGTTACAGTTTCATGAGCATTTTACAGGATCTGATAGATGATCAAGAATACATCATGATAGAGATTGAACTTGAATGATGGAAAGAAATGGAAATGAGGGGGATTTAGATTCCTCCCCCCCCCCCTTTATATAAAAAAAGTGTCAGATTTGTCAAGTTTTGGTGGACTTGCCCAAGTCCAGGTTACTGTAGCAACTCAGCCAAGTACTTCTACAGTATAGTAACTCGATGAGTCCAAGTCGAACTTTATGAGTTTTTAAACACTGGTTTGAATTGTTAGTCCTTTTGTTTAGTTACCCAAGACCTCACACAATTTAATTGGTCATTACATTGTCCGATGTAATGTATACCATTAGATCTTTTGTTTCTTTTTTTTTTGTTTTTTGATAATGTTAACTGTTTTCCTTTTTCCTTTTAAATGGTTAATCATGTGATTTCATTAATCTGTACTGCCTACCATCAGTCTTCAATTGATTTCAGTTGATAATAGTACCCCATGTTTCATAGGACTCTTTTGTTTCTCGCCTTAGTAAGAAACAAGGTATTGCATCTTATCCAACATGGGAGCTTTTAGAACTACATCTCTTGCCAACTGCGTAATAGTTCATCTTAGCCCTATACTGAAGAAAAGAAACAGATAACACTAGGAAATGGCAATATCAACACAACTACCAGCCCCGTACCTCCATAATAGCATGGAGCATATTCATTTGAGAGACCCATGGAATTGTTAGCTTACACCATATCACTTCTTTAAAGGAAATAGCCAATGCATCATTAAGTCAGATAAGAGATTCACATAAAACTTAGTGAAACAAAATTCCTATCAATAATCTATTCAAAAGGTAAAAAGTATAGGAATGGGCTCAAGGCTCTCTTGTGATTGTTAAACTTAGAGAACAAAATACTTGCTCGCCTCTACTGACATGCCACTTTGAGGGGAAGTGTTGCAAGATTTGCATGTATATGTGTAATTAAGGGGAAATTTTGTTATTATTATTTCGCTTGCATACTCCATGTACACGTGCCCTTGTACTTAATAAATTCTTGCCCCATAATGAATTAAGCAACTCCATATTACTTGAATTGGGAGAATGCTCCATGTTAGAACTTCATTTCTCATCTTATTGGAAGGGGAAAAAAAAATTTAATTTCTCATAGTTTCAGTTTACTCCAAAAAAACACAAAAAGAACAACCATGCTTACATTAATTTTCTGATGCATATTACATGACAAAAATTTTAAAATTGTATAAGAGAAATAAAGAAAAGAAAAAAGTAACATTCTAACCTACTTAACAGAGGTATAGAGAAGAAAAGAAAAGAAAACGAAAAAAGAAAGAAAAAAAGAAAAAGAAAAGAGATCCTTACATTTGCCTATTCAATTTGCAAGCAAAAAGTAAGGAGCTGAACAACTAAATGTCTCAGAGGAGTGGCACCTAATTTCTGCGATGAAGAAGAAACCTCCAGGAAGGCTTCTCCTTTCGTATTCTCACTCCACTGAAATAGCTTCGGTGTTTGTCGCTTCACTTTCAACCTGGGGCAAGGTTTCTAAGTCAGTGAGAGCCTCTCTTTCTTCTTGAGTAACTAGAGGCAGAGAGTGATCTGACTCATCTGTTGTCCCGTTTGTTGTAAGAGACCCATTATTCTCCAACTCAGCACCATCATTAGTATTAGCCCTTTCTCTCTCTTCCATCTCTCTCTCTTCTGTTGCAGCATCTTCTGAACCATCACTTTCAGGAACCTTTGGTTCATTGGTTATACTTTTATTTTGAGATGAGCTAGTAGAGTTGTTCTCAAGAAATGAACCTTGTGATTCAGCACCATCTGCAGTAGAGATAACAGTTTGATTGGTTGGCTCCACAATTGTTGAATTGTTCAGAGAACCATCTTGTTCCTTCGAGATAACAGTCTCAGCATCCTTGGTTACAGGAGTTTTATCAAGAACCACGGTTTCCTCGGTTATGTTTGGCTTTAACGAACTGTCATCTAAGGTTCCATTTTCTCCCTGGAAATTGAGTTTCTCTTCTTCTGGAAATTTCTCAGGAACTTCATCTTCTCTCTTCAAACTGGGGTTTTCTAGATTTTCAACTTGTTTGACATCAGAGTGGGCGTCTCCATCTCTCTCTAAATTGGGTTTTTCTGGGTTAGACACTTGCTTCTCATCAGGATGAGCATCATCTTCCGTCACTAAACTGGCTTTTTCTGGGTTTTCTTCCTGTTTCTCTTCAGTGTGAGCCTGCTCTTCTCTCTCTAAAATGGAGTTTACTTGTTTATCCTCCTGCTTCTCAACAGGATGGGACTCATCTGCCCTCTCAAAACCTGGTTTCGTTTCTAGGTTTCTTATGTACTCCCCATCACCATGAGCTTCATCTTCGCCCTTGTCTTCTAGATTTTCTCTCTCCTCTTCATCAGGATCTGAACCAGCAGTATCTTCATTTCTTATTATCTGTGTGTCCCTACCAATCTCTTCATTGAGTTTTTGAGTTTCTCCCTCTTCACCATTTTCCTGATCATTCATATCCTCACCCTGGTTCTCATTCTCTTCTTCATCTAATTTCTCATCTTCATCTAATTTCTCATCTTCGGCGTCTATTAAATCCTCTTCAGCTTTCTCCTGATCCTGTTCATCGATCTCATCATCTCCACCCCCTCTGGCTTCATCATCTCTCTCCTCTACCTTCCCCCCCTCTTCTTCTGCTTCCCTCTCTTCTTCTTTCTCTTCTTCTTCATGTCTCTCTTCTTCTTCATGTCTCTCTTCCTCTGTTTCAACCCCTCCGTTCAAACCCTTTCTCCCAAGACTGAAATCCTCTCGGCCAGCGTCTAATTTCTCAATCAATTTCCCATTGTTCTCTTCATAGGCCTTCCTCTTACCATGAGAATGCTTTACCTGATACAATAGCCAGATACAAACAGCGACCAGTAACCCGATTTGCAAGGCATGCCTGATCTTGAAACCCTTACTTCTGTGATTTCGGCCCGATGTTTGTCGAAACATCGCAAGAGAAGTAGCAGAGAACTAAAACCCTAGAACCCTAAACCCCCAAACCTCAAATCTCGACCAGTGCGGTGTGTTCAAGACAAGAACCTACAGATTACAAATCAAAGTTACCGTCACTTACCAAACTGAAGCAAGGCCATCAACGAACAAAAGGAGAAAAACCAAAGCTCCCCATCTCTCTCTTGTCAAGAACAAAAAGATAAATCCCAAATCTCTCTCTCTCTCTGCACCTACATATGTTCTTTTGGGTTTTCTTAATGTGATTTTAATGGGTTTTTAGCACACACAAATAACTTCTGTTTGGGTTTTCTTGGGTTCAGAGAGAGAGAGAGAGAGAGAGAGAGAGAGATTTCACTAGTAAAGAACACAGATCTAATACCATAGTTCTCGAATTGCAGAAACCGAGATACTAGCTGATGAAACAACAATAGTTTCAGATCTAAGAGAAAACCAAGAGCCAAGAATCCATGAAAGAGTGAGTAAAGCTCATCATTGTCAAAAAAAAATAGTGAGCAAAGCTCAAGAGCATACCTGAGGGTGTAGTGGCAACCTGTGAAGACACCAATGTCCAGAGTCCAGACAGTGTTAATCCTCAAATGGATTAGCATTTAGAGAGAGAATAAAATGCCATGCAATACACATTTAAGACAGAGAGAGAGAGAGAGAGAGAGAGAGAGAGAGAGAGTATTAGTAGGTAGTAGAGAGAGAGAGAGTANGATAAGAAAGTAAAACGTTAAGTTAAACAACTACACAACTAACGTACGTATTAGTATACTAATAATTA